ATTAAAGCTAAGTTACAAACTGAGAAGAAAGGCATGCAACGCAGACTTAAAAGTAGGTAGAGTGGGTTTATCACGAATAGTACCCGGCAGTGAATTCCAAAATTTAACACCCGATATTAAAACCGAATTTTGGAAAGCAGAGGTGCGACAACGATGGTAAATCAGGTCAGTAGGATGTGACCGTGTTACAGGTCCAGAGGTTGGTTTGGATGAGATGGTCTCGAGTTGACAAGAAATAAAAGTAGGCATCGAGATATAAACAGCCTGACGAACGACGATATCGAGAAAGTATCGCTGCCGCTGAGAGACACTGAGCCATTTTAGGGTACGTAGATGCGGGGTAATGTGCTCGTATTTACGGATCCCTAGAATAAAACGAACGCAGGCGTTTAAGATTCGCTGCAATCTAATGTTTTCCTCGGTGGTAATGTCTAAAAATACAAGAGAACAGTAGTCAATAAGCGGAAGAATCAAGGATAAAACGAGTTGCTGTTTGAGCGCTCTACCTAAAAACTGTCCGTTGGCTCTTAATTGGTAGAGGGTCTCATATGCCCTATTACAGATGCTAGTGACATGCTGTTGCCAATTAAGTGTCGGAGATATGAGGACTCCTAAGTTCTTGGCCGAGTTTGCGAACGGTATTATGGAGCCATCGACGACAATATCACGTCCGACACCTAGATACAAGAAACTACGGAGCGGAACACCTGGACACCCTGGACTTCCACGTCCGACACCTAGATACAAGAAACTACGGAGCGGAACACCTGGATACCCTGGACTTCCACGCCCGACACCTAGCTACAAGAAACTACGGAGCGGAACACCTGGACACCCTGGACTTCCACGCCCGACATCTAGATACAAGAAACTACGGAGCGGACCATTTGGACACCCTGGACTTCCACATCCGATACCTAGTTACAGAAAACTACAGAGAGGAGCATCTGGAAATCCCATATCTCTAAAAATTGTCACCTAAAATACGAGGAACTATGTTAAGGCACACAGATACACACATACGTACACGCATACACACGCGCTCCACATGAAAGCCTTAATAATTCTATACTATTGTGAAAACAGGCTTATGTCAACTGGAAATTCGGTGTGAACGGTAGCTTCACGTACAAAGTGTATTTGATTGTGTTGTGTATTCGTAACTTACCAACACCATCCAAAGTAAAAATAGGTAAAGAAGGCAAAGCAGTCAACGCCTTCTGTCGTGTAAAAAATGCGATGGATGTGCGAAGACGACGACGACGACGACGACGACGACGATGACGACGAGGACGACGACGGAACTGAAATAAAATCATCTCGCTCGCCATTTCAATACGCCCTGATCTCGTAAACTAATCGTATTGAACTTGGTGGCAATCGCTTCAGAACCTTCAATTCCTATAGTAAATGTATCATTAACTTTTCCTCATATATAGCGGTTCATAAGATATTTCGTTCCAAACACAGGTATAAGGAGTTGACTCGAGTAAAGAGTCTTGGCGCGCTACGCCCTGTACAGCCGGTTGCCTGTACTTGGCGCGAGACTCGACCGAGTCTCTTGATACATTACAATTCTCTCGTATAGAATCATCAGAATAAATTGCGAAAATGAAGGTGCAAATAATAGAAATAAGGAAATATGAGTGAAATAATACAGCAGAATGTTTAAACCATGCGCTACCTTGCTTAGACTTAAATTAAGTATTATCTAGTATAATAGTTATTTAATATGAGTATTTTTATCTAGTATTCTAATCGTTATGCGTAGTTATTATATATCTAATAGTTATTTAATATGAGTGCATATGCTATTTCTACTGACGTTCTGACAGAAAGGTCCACAATTGTCTCTTAAATATACAATATTGTGACGACACTTTTTAACGGTGACGCACAAATAAATGGCACCGCGAGAAATAATTAATGAAATACTAAATTATTGGGCGCCAGGTATAACCAGAGTTATACCGCTGTCTCCTAAGGACACCCTGGCCAGCTCTTATGCGGTGGGGTCCTGGGTCTGGGAGACTAATCAAAATCTGAAAATTAGGAAGGTTCACTCTAAAAATTACTGAAAACGACAAACTATCGGAACCAAAATCCGGGGATGGATCCGATTTATTTTAAATAGAAAATATAAGAACAAGATGGTGAAATACAAATAATAAGTAT